GCAAAATAAAAGAAGTTATCTTTATTGAAGAAAATAGCCCCACCCTAAACCAACACCCCGGGGTACCAAGATACTTATATTAGAATGTGAAGAAATATCCGGTCATGTGACCTCTTTGTTCTATACTGCACATAGATACTCATGTATATCTGTAAACTACTTGTACCTGATGATGACAAAATCTTGTCGAAACGTCGTATATTTATAATAAAGTTTTTCATTACCTAGTCACACCATCTCAAAACTTTTATTTTCTAAAAAGTGGGTTCCTCGTTATCAAGTAATAATGGTTCTCTTCCTAGGTACTACAGTGTAGGTGCATACAAGATATAGAGTATAGCCTCCTAAATGTTTTGACAAAACTACTTCAGCCCCATCATCGAGAAAAGGCTGGCACAACCCCTGGTTGGTCGCCATATGAAAGTGCTAAAAATCTCTTTTCCTTGATCAGTTATCAACAGTTGAGGGCTATAGTATTTTATTAGCGGTAGACTGTTGTTAAAATACTGATGACAAACGTCTTTTAAACAGCCTCTCAAAGAAAGGGTAATTGTTAACCACGTTTCCCCAAACGTGTACGCCTATAATACTTTTGCAAATTCGGATAGATCCCTGCTTTCGTCCATTTTCTAGCATTTTAAACATGCATGATATGAATTTAAGCAGTCACTTCACTCATTATATGATCAATTGCAGGTGTGTATGGGGTCCCTAATAATGTAGCTCGTCAGTGTAGAATTTATATTCTACAAAAAAACTCAAATACATTTTTGATAAACTTAAAATATTTGCAACAGTGTTTGTGAATATTAATATTTTTTTCATTTAAATTTGGTTCTTTTTCTTTTCTTCTTTAATTTAATTCAATTAAATCAATTTGTCGTATAGTGCGTAAAATCCACAAGATAATTTATTCCTGTGATTTCATGCAAGAAAATGTGATTGTTCATAAAATGAAATGTAACTATAACAAATGCTCACATGTTTCTTGATTTATCTGTGTTAAAGGTTTTCGATTGATTGCTTTTAATATATGATAACAAGAGGCATGAAATAAAATGTAGAATAGTTCCATTGTCATACCGTTAGGGCACGGAAAAAATGTCCGCAATTATTTAATGAAATGGTTTAGTATGTGTAAAAATAATCGTAGCAACACCCATAATATTTGTTTTGAAAACTGCTTTTAAATAAACATTGAGTTGTCTTTGAAATAATGAAGCACATCGAGACTTAGAGTTACCAGAACTATAAAACTGACGCATTTACTGACATATGCTAATATTCGTATGTATATATATATATATACATAACTACCTACCTATATTTTAATAATGAGAACCCACTGATTTTTCATTGGCTGAACGCTATTATTATCCTGGGATGTTAATAAGACTGTCAATAGTTTCTGGTGAAAAACTAATTAATTAGATCAGAATTAAAGATTGTTTATAAGTTAATGAAGATAGTCCGGTGTTACAATCTGCCTGAAATTGCAAAATGTCGTAAATCAAGAAAAATAAAACATATAATAGTTAGAATGTTCTGAATCATCAAGCTTAACGGTAAGTCTCAGGGCTTATAACACTAAAAATCGGTAGGCAGAGCACAGATAGCACATTGTGTCACTTTGTGCTTAACACCAAACAAATAAAGCTCTCAATGTAAACTATTCCTCTTAAAAACTAATAACAGTTGTAATAATATATAACAATAAAATATTCAAAATTATTTTAAATTATAATGGATGACATTAATTAAGCTAACTAAAAAAATGGAGTGTATTAATACAATAAGATATTCAAAATTATTGTAAATTATAATGGATGACATTAATTAAACTAACTAAAAAATGGAGTGTATTAATACAATAAAATATTCAAAATTATTTTAAATTATAATGGATGACATTAATTAAGCTAACTAAAAAAATTGAGTGTATTAATGCAATAAGATATTCAAAATTATTTTAAATTATAATGGATTACATTAATTAAGCTACTAAAAAATGGAGTGTATTAATACAGTAAAATTTTCAAAATTATTTTAAATTATAATGGATGAAATTAATTAAGCTAACTAAAAAAATGGAGTGCATTAATACAATAAGATATTCAAAATTATTTTAAATTATAATGGATGAAATTAATTAAACTAACTAAACAAATGGAGTGTATTAACGCTCACAAAACGCATAGAAACTAATTGTTCTCTCCCATGTTTTACCACTGAGTCCTCAAGAATATAACTAAAATCAGTTTTAACTGTTTTTACTTTTTCTTTTCCATGCTTTGGATCCCCCGGTGGGTTAACGGCAAGTTTATGGAGTTACAGCCCGAAAATTTGGGGCTCAGTTCCCCTCGCTGGACAGAACTCGGGTAATCCATAGTGTTGCTGTGTGCTAAAATCAACCAATCAGCTTTAGCCTCTGTGACTGTGCATCTTACTTTAATATGGGACGTAAGAGGGTTCAAAAGTAGATAGCTAGATTTTTTATTGTAAAATACAGATTTTTGTAATTGAGTTAATTATATTTCAGAGCAAAACATAGTACTAGGTACTAAGTTAATGGCAAAAATCAACTTATGAGGATTGAATTTCATTATATTTATAAATATAAAAAAAACAATAAAAAATATACAGAACTTTTCACTAACAAAACAAAACGCTGATGACAAAATACTTTTAAAATTTGTAAGTTTTTCATAAAATCATTTACAGATCAAAACAACTAGTCAAAGACTGAATTACTAAATATAATGACAGTTAGGCTAGACGGGGACATAAAAAGAACGTTCTGGCATCACAGACAAGAGCTTATTAAAGTTATGAGGCTAATTGGATAATTAGAGGATGTAAAACTAATTTAGACATACTACATACGATGAGAAACTATCAACGAAAGTCAGTATTTGAATGCGTTCCTAGTTCTGAGAACTAAGATGTTAGTTCAGAGAGGAACCCATGTTAGAGCAGTGCATAAAAACTTCCAGCTTGGCATTGCTTCCGCTAATCGAAATATCTATTAAAACATAAACTCTATATAAGGACAAAGAAACGATCGAAAGTAACATTATCTTAAGTAGTTTGTGGCGATATTCAATAACGTTATTTATTATTATATTCCTTTGTAGTCGAAACAAAGAAAATATTTCGTGCCGTCCGTTAACATCACATATTAGTCTATTTTAAAGACAGCTGCTGTAGAGAAAGAAGTATATCATAAGATCTGAATTTCTATTTGGAAAACCAATTATAAAACTTTGTGAGAATGAAGTGAATGATTCTTCTATTCCTCAAATGATGTTCTCAAATATTATTCTAGGGCATTTATAATAATGACACGCACCTGTTCTATGAAAAAGGTTAAACAAAAGAGTGGTGTCAAAATGTGAGTAGAATTTATTGATAAATAAAAGGTGCAAGTTTTCCTCATTATTTGATCACATTCCTCACATCCGGCTAAATATCTGTAATGTTTTAATAATTGAATTCTCTAAAAAGAGCCTTTGATAGGGTAAGAAACAATATAATGTCTAATAGATGTATATAGTTTTCTGTGGCGTAAGTTTCACCACAGAATATCTGAGATTACACGGATTTTTTCTAAGTTCATTAATCCGGTTAGAATATATGTACTTAGTATATTAATATATCAATTTATCTATATGTGTGTGTTGTTAGTTGTCAGAATTCACCTATGTCTAATTCTATTTATATTTTTCTTTTCGGCCCGGCATGGCCAGGTGGTTAGGGCGCTCTACTCGCAATCTGAGCGTCGCGGGTTCGAATGCTTTTCAGCCATGGGGGCATTATAATGCGACGGTCAATCCTACTATTCGTTGGTAAAAGAGTAGTCCAAGAGTTGGCGGTGAGTGGTGATGACTAGCTGCCTCTAGCTTCCCTTTAGTATTTCACTGTTAAATTAGGGACATCTAGCGCAGATAGCCCTCGTGTAGCTTTGAGCGAAATTAAAAAAAATAATTCTTCAAATGAATGATAGAATATAACACTATTTGTAATACAGATTATATCTTTAGCCTCCGACCTGCAATAACGAATAGAAAATACACTGAAGAGTATTTTCTTTTGTCCTTTTTTTATTCACCAAAACGAGAGGTAAATTTAAGTTAATGTAAAAACAAAATATTTAAGGTATATCAATTGCTATCATACAAACATTTCGTTTTTTTTTTCGAAAGCTCGAAAAGGAGTGGTTAATACGAATGTTAAATATTTACAACAGAGAGAGAGAGAGAGAAAGAGAAAGAACAACACAAAACCGGACAAACATAAAAATACGCTCACTGATCCTAGAGACTATACCGTAATTTTATTTCATATATCACGTTTCAAGGTCTTGTAAACTGTTTATTTCATCAAATTTAATGGCAAATAAGAACAAACGTTATTCTATCATTATAGTTGATGAACACTGATGAGGAATCGTCATTTTATGTTTCTGAAACCTGTAACACAAGAAAAGAACATTGGAGGCCTGAGATAGGACGTCTGAACGAACCAACCAACAAACAAAAAGGTTCGAAAAAAAATTAATAGAGTGATATTAAATACTCGACAGGAAAAGCTTGTTTACATATCTACGTCGAAGCAGAAAGCTGGAGAGCTTATTACTCTAGAATACAGCTTCGATTCTCGTGGAGGACATAGCACAGATAGTCTCCTGGGCAGCATTGCTCTAAAATACAGTCTATAGTAACAATATTGTGCGATAAATGAAATAATTCCAGCGAGAATGTGTGTTCCTATATTAGTTATATTGCTTCTTGATAACATTGAACGCTAAAGTTAGATATATCTTTCGCTACGTAATGGTAATACCCCCTCGCCCCGCAGTGGCTTAGAGGGTAAGTCTGCAGGCTTATCACACGAAAATCCGGATTTTGATACCCGTGGTGGACGCAACACAGATATCCCATTGTGTAACTTTGTACTTAACAAAAAGTGAACAAGTCAAGTAACAGAGGTGCTAACACTGAGTACTTCTGTAAAAAAATATCTGAAAAGTAAATTCAGTTTACGAATTTACGAGTGAGATGTGTTCGTTTTGTTCTCTGAAATGATTTTAAAATGAACTTACAATGTGCTGCTTGCATGCACTTTACAGATAATCGATAAATGAATTTATCGTTAAATTGTAAAGCATGATTTCCTTCGAGTTTTCCTAGTCTACGTAAACTGATAAATGAATGATCACGTATTTGTATTTGTGTTGATAGAGGGCGCTACTAGTTAACTTTCCATGTTAACGTCTGCTGTATATTGCTATTGGTGCGTTGTTTCTAGTAGTTCAAGGAGAAGACGGTGATATGTTCAAAAGTTGACTTGTGCGATGAAAGTAATATCAGTGTCACTGTGTGAAATTTGAAGCTGGAAGTTTCCCGGGAATCAGTAAGTTATTTGGGAAAGGTTCAAACTCTATCTGAACATCAACAGTAAGTATTTTATTGATTTGTTTAATTATTAATATCCGCATACCTGCCACTCTCATTAAACTTTCAAATATTCTGCGTACAATATCAGTATGATTAAGACATGTTATGATGCCAAAATACGTTATGTTGAAACTCCATTTCTAAACATCTTATATTTATGTTTATATACTTTAGGGATTAAAACGTATATAGTAGAATAAAATAAACGAATTTTTTCATTCGTAATTTATTAGAATATAAAAATAGACTTAGTTTTCAGATGGCTCAGCCGTTAGCTTAATAGTTTTTAACGCTAAAATTTAGGGCTTTGATCCCCATAGTGGACACAGCGCAGATAACCCATTATGATTCTTTCCATTAAAACAGAACAGACTACCGAAAATAGGCTTATAATTTAATGTATTGAAGGGTTTGTTTGTTCTGGATATTCCCGGAAAGCTAAGTAAAGGCTATTTGCGTTAGCCAACTCTCATTTGAACTGGTAAACCAGATGAAAAGTAATTAGCAAATACCATCCACCGCCAACTTTTGGGCTACCTAATCGAGTAGTGGGATTTCATCGTTACTCTTATAACACGTGTTATAATTTTAAAATGAACTTACAATGTGCTGCTTGCATGCACTTTACAGTAATCGATAAATGAATTTATCGTTAAATTGTAAAGCATGATTTCCTTCTCAACGAAATGCGTCATGCACCTGTCATAAACACGTGAAAAGATAAATGAAAGACTCTTCAGTTATATCCAAGAAGAGAGTATGTTTGTATAGAATACGTCTGAGTTTAATCATTTATAGTAGCTTAACAGCTTTCTAAAGAAAACCTTCAAAAAATACAGTACAATTAATTAATTAATTTGCCCAAATTAATATTTTTTTCTATAAGAAGTTCTATCGTAACAGATTTTAATTGCATGTTGTATATAGATATTCCAACAGGCTGTTTTACAGACCACTGAAACTGGAAGAGACAAATTACGTTTCTCAATCCAGTTTATTCTCCATTATTAAAGTAAGGTCACACAATTTCTTGCGCTCCGGCGAGTACGAATTATTGCTACTTCTTGCGTGATCTCCGTTCAATATTCCATCGTTCGCGTTTCATTGCTGAAAAATCCATGTCCGCGCTTAGGGGGCCGCCCCCCAGTAGCACAGCGGTATGTCTGCGGACTTACAACGCCAGAATCCGGGTTTCGATACCCGTGGTGGGCAGAACACAGATAGCCTATTGTGTAGCTTTGTGCTTAAATTTAAAAACAAAAAAAAAACAAACAAACGTATCCTTGAAGTAATATCGTTCAAGGACATAGTAATTAATTATACTAGTGTCACAAGGAAACATAATACTAAATTTAATTATTTTCTGAATGTGTATATGAGTGGTTATATAGAGTTTTTGTCATTTTCTGATATTGTTACAATATATAACAATACAAAATTATACATCTGAACCTATTGTTGTTTATCATGACTTAGTTGCTTATCCGTACGTTGTTGTCTTGCGTTAACTTGCAGAATTCCAAAGAATACAAATAAGCTAGACTATCGATCTCTGATAAACGATGTATTTTTCTTTTTATTTTGTGAAGTAGTTTTACATTATAAAATAACTCAAAAACTCCACAATTTTTGATTCGCACTTGAGCTTATAGGTGGAAACTATACCAGCATACACTTACTTATATAAGGTTTACCGATGAAAATGGTGAATTATTTTTCTATTAGGTACTTTTCACGTCCTGACATACATTGAAACCTTTCCACGTACGTTCTCTTGGTCATATATAGCTTTTGTCTGAGTGAGGAACAAAACGACGTTCAATAACAACTGAAACTAGACAGGTGTTTGGTCTGCAGATTCAGTCACTTTCTATTTTCCAGTATACTGTATTTAGATTAGACAAATGAAAACAAATCAAATGTTTCTAGGTAAACCTTATGGTCTTAAACTTAATGTTATAAAAGAAGAAAATCCTGCTTTGTATGTAATTACTATAATGTAAAAATTGCTTAAACCAGACACGATTATTTTTATATTATGGTTTCCAAAATAGCCTCAGTAAAATCACTATAGATTTCAATCGAATCTAAATGTAAGATATTTAATATATGGTGTCTTTTCTGCTAAAGATGCCATCCTTGTAAATATATTTCATAGGTATACAGTTTCATTTCCAAGAATCACTACCTTTCTGCTTGAGAAAACCTTAAATTTCAGGCTAGAATATAAATGACAGTCATCTGTATCCAAAATACAAAACACAATGCGTGCAGCATCACGAAATAGCAGCTTTCAAAGATTTATTTGCCAAAACGTGTATGAATTGGCTAAATCTATGCTTCAGCAGATGTAAGTTAAAAATTCATACAAAAAATTAATGATTAAAGATGAGTGAGATTAAAGCTAAAAATAAAATAGTTATTCATATTCTACGAAGCTAGAATTTCCGAGATTGTTTTGATTTGGAGAAACCATTCTCATTCATTCTGTTTTATGCATGGTTAGCAAACCATGTAAAGTGCTAAGCCTAAATGAGCTATTTCTCCAAACTAATATATGTTCAATTATTCATTTAGATATTTTATTTGACTAAAACAATCTTATTTCATTTCTTTAAAATATTAATATAAATTGGCTTTTAAACAGGTTAGTCGTATAAGGTAGAATAACACACACACAAACATGCGTATGTTTAGGTTACTTCTAAGAAATAGGTAAGCCTACTTGTACCTGATGATGACAAAACCTTGTCGAAACGTTGTACATTTGCTGTTATATTAAAGTTTTTCTTCATTACCCATTCAAGCCGTCTCCAGCCATTATTAGTCTCAAAGTGGGTTCCTCGTCATCGAAATTAAGTCTATCAGTTCTGTGATTCAAATGTTGATTTTAAAGAACATATTTGACAGCTTTACCTGTATCGCTATACAAGATTCAACATCTAAAATAATATTAAAATACAATTACTATTGGGCCATATTATAGTCGTCGTTGTTTCATTAATTATGTTAATTGTAAAGGAAATCGAACATATAATTGTGAAGACAGACAACATGAATTTATAAAGATCTTATGTAGCATTTTAAAAGAAATAATGAATATTTATATTGATAAATAAGTAAACAGAATTTTCTAAATATTATCATACTACGTACTATATATATATATATATACATGCTGTGTACTCTAACCGATCTTAATTTGAACTGGTAAACTAGGTGAAAAGTAGTTAGCAAACAACATATACCACTAACTTTGAGCTACTCTAATCGAATACTTCGATTTGATCGTTACTCTTATAGAGCATCCATAGCCCCTAAGATGGGTTACTGCAAGCAAACAGAAAAGATTGGTGTGCTTTAGAGATTAATGGCTTACAATGGATCCTTTAGCAATGGAATTTATGCCACAAGGCTACTATAAAGGTGCAAGGTCGTCAGGTAGATCATGATTCGACATAGTGAGTAACAGTACTAAACAAAAAAGTAGCTAAACGGTGTTTATAGTAGTCTATGAAACGAATTCAAGTTAAATTATTGCAAAGTAAAATAAATGTAAAATTGTAATGAAGGCAAACTTAGCTGAATATGCAGAAACGTCTGAATACATGTTCACAAAGTGATAAGCATGTGGTTTTGAACGAGCTGCCATGCGTATTTTAGACCTAAATAAGTCGAGAAAGCCCATAGCAATTGTATTTAGTGTAATGTTCATTATTTAGGCAATTACGCGTTGGTTAAGTATTGTTTGTGTGAAATGCTTTTGCAAACAAAAAAGACTAAAGTTAAAATAGAAGCCAATCGTCACGTGATGACAACAACATTGTGTCACTGTGTAGCATATTCATTTGACTCAGCAAAAAACAGGTAAGATGATTCTGAATGGAAAAGCTAATATTTAATTCAAACACCTCAGACAGAGGCCTTTCTAAAGACATGAAACTTGTAGCGTTTGATCGAGAAATTTACGAAAAAGGTTCCGGATAGACAAACAAACAAACGCAAAATATATATTAAAGTCTGAGTGATTATTTAAATAAAAAAATGGATAATATCTTTACAAAAAATATACCTGATAAAGAAGATTGAGTACGTTATATTAAAACGAATAAGCAAATCAGCAAGTCACGTGTTAATGACAGCTGGTATAAAATCGCGGTGGCACGGTATGTATACAAACAACTTTTTGGCATTGTGTTGCATTACGTAGGTAATATGATGCCACTAAAAACTGGTCGATTTTTTTGGAAAGGGATGTAACAGCCCTTTCCGGTGCAGTCTTTTCGTGCACTCAGACAATAAAAGGAGTGTTCACATCGAAAATTTAGAACTTATAAAACATCGATATCCCTTTTACATAATGGCATTTGAAGACAAAAATAATATGAATCAACTTGGGGACCCAGGATCGCACAGAAAGAGATTTGCAAAAAGTTGTACTCAGGACATAATGAGCAAAGTGCGACCTTTTATAAAGGTGAGAATTTTCGAACACAAATGTCAGTGGCAAAAACCGTGCATGTGCCCCAGGTAACAGTAGGCAACATGATCAAGAAGAATAGGTATCTGGGATCACCAAGATAATATTTCTAGACATACCTCACGTTCAAAATGTAGCATACTTCAAGTAGCTGGAGAATAAAACGGGTGTTCCTGCTATTCCATACGAAGAATGACATATTGGTCAAGTAGCCTATATAATTCTTTGCAGTTGGACACTTGATGGGTTATTGAAAGTAAACAGAAAGAAGCGGTGTGCTTTGGAGATTATAGCTTTACGATGGAGCCTTTAGCAATAGAAATTACGTCACAAGGATATTATCAAGGTGCACGGTCGTCAGATAGAGCACAACTCGACATAGCGGCATGAACTGTAATAACGTGGTGTACTCAGCCTTTATAGTCCCAAAATTTATAGTGTGAGTTATATCATATAAAAGTGGTCAGTATTATGTATGTATTTTATCTTATCTGGTTTGATCTTAAAATAAAATGGATTG